ACTACAATAGGTCATAACCAAACTCTGTTATCACCCTATGTTTGTACATTTAAGTTAAAGTGCATGTGTGGAGCTACCCAACTCTGTTTCCTAACAGGATCAAATTTTACACTTTTGAGAATTGAAGTGATGGAAATGATTACATTTCTTAATTGGCATTAAGGAATGTTTTACATTGATTCTTTTATCACATTGTGAGATTTTGCCCATAGTGAACAATGGGATGTGGTTGTGTAATTCCCTGTGGTGTGAGGTTTTAGGTTCATCTCCTATGAGAAGTTTGATACCCTTTGTGGTGGTGTTTATTTCTCCCTCATTATGGGGGTTGTACACTAAGTAGTGGTGGAGTTGTTGTTGGGCTTGGGCTTGGGCTTAGTATGCTAGGCTTGGTATTTGGTTGTTAGGTAGGCTTTGGTATGCGTTGTTGACTTTCTTGCTATTGTGGACTAGTAGTCTATTTGATGATGCACTATTTTTCATACGTATAATTACTTTCCTATTGATTGACAAAAAAAGGAAAAAGAAAAAAGAAAAAAAGAACAATGGAATGATGACAAAATGATCAGCATTCCTTATTTATATTCAACTATGTTGGATGGGTCATTGAATTTGGTTAAGGGATTGTTGAATATTTTCATTGGAATAGAAAAAATGTGGAAGAAAATGGATCGGTATTGGTGCTATCTAATCCATTATCAGATATTGATCTTGAATGGTCAAGCATATATGTGATAAAATTAACTTATTTTGTGTCCTGTGGTGCACAAAATAATATCATTTAACATGCTATATTAAATAAAATAGGGTGATTTTGTTTCTGTGTGATTTATGGGTTTTCTAATAGGGTATACTTAGTACTATTATTTTGCCCCTCAAACCTTAGAGGGAAATCTATATTTTAGTCAAACCTCGAGAGGGGTGTTGGTAATTTGCCCTTAATTTTTTAAGTAAGACTCATAAGTTACAATTTTATATTAAATAATTGAAAAATAATAAAAAATATGATAATTTATAATTAGTCAGAACATAACGGCGTGATGGCCTGGAGCATGAAATAATTTTTCATATTATACCTTTTAGTTCTGATTTAGGGGTCGTTTGGAATGACCTAAATAAGTGTACTTTTTGTCTTTTTACGAAAAGATGTGCAGAAAAATAGAGAGGTAATGTGATGAAAAAAAGACAAAAAGATAAAAAAATAAATTATTTGAAATATGCCAAACTTGATCTTAGAATATTAAAACAAAAGTTAAATTATCACATCAATAATAAAATGCACATGATATCATGTCATTAGTTATATTACTAATGTTAAATTTTCTTATACCTTCTTATTTGTTATTTATTTTGTGATGAGACAGATTGATTTGACAACTCAACTAAAGCAATTTAATAATGTTGCCAACTAGGCACCCACAACTATAGTGTTTTTTTTTAAAACAATTTATCAGAATTGTTTATCGGAATTAAAAATCAATATTAAAAAATTATTTTATAAATTATTATCAATTTGGTGCTCTACAAACATCAAAATTTTAAGAGAAAATATTAAATAAATAATAAAATAATTACAAATCAATAACATAGAAATAGGTGCATATAATTTTTACCCCGTTCTCATTTGCACTGAACATATATCTCACTTACACTCACCGAACATATATTTCACTCACACTTCATACGTTTGTAATTATTTTTTTACTTTGTATTTACCTAATATTCTACCAATTATTTTAGATAACAATTTCAAGCAATTTTTAAAATTTTTGAAAAAATATTTAAAGCAAAATTAAAATGACATGAAAGCAATGATCTAAAACTTTTAGGAATGATTTGAAAATTGATTATTTTTAGTTGACCTTGTAATTTTTTTCAAAAAATATGTAAAAAAACAGAAAGAATGATATGGCAATTAAGAACATCTCCATCCAAGCTTTCAAAAGTTGGTGTACCAAATATTTTTGAAAACTTAGAGCAATTCCAATGGCTTGCCATCGGAGCTGCTATTGCCATAATTTGGCAACTCTACTAATATAGTATACTCCAATGACATTTTATACCAGGTGCTATATTTGAGAAATGTCAAAGTTTGTGTCAAATTTGACACAAATTTTGACAATTGCTATCTGTATCCAACCAATTTATGTGTTTCTTCCTCTGTGCATTTGCTAAAACAGTCTAAGAAGATAAACCTATATCCAAACAATACCTACAAAATTAGAACAAAAATTGAATGAGATTTGTTAAAATGACCAATGACCATTAGAACACTATTGCTATAATTTCACGATTTGCTACTATTCATAGCAAATTATATCAATGGCAATGCTATAATAGCATTTGTCATTAGAATTGCTCTGAGGAGACAAACTAGCATATGTCAATTTGACATAAAAACTCTTGCCTCATATGTCAAATATATTATTCTATTATTTTTAAAAATAAAATTATTTTATTGAACAGATTTAACATTTAACATCAATACGAAACATGTCAAATTTAACTTGTTGAATTTATATCAAATACCAACTCAGCATTTGACATATCAAGTGTACTAAATTTTTTATGTCAAAATAAAATTGTTGAACTACAACATTAGATTTAACATACCGGATAGTGGCCTTTGGACTTTAAAACTATTCCAGCTTGTCCCAGAGGAGGCCTCAATTATTTTTATTTCTAAGTACTAATTTAAGCGCTAAAAGAAAAAACCTATATGAAAAACCAACTTCTTTTTTTGATTCAAAAAAAAAGTTTAGGAGGAGGGGAGGCTACCCCATTCCAGGGCCAGGGAAAGCGTTACGCAATATCGCCCACCAACAAAGGACTGCCGGCAGCGGGACTCGAACCTAAGCCAAATGGGCGAAGAGAACGAACCTTACCAACTGAACCAACTTCCACAACTACTCTCATGAGCAATGGTACCAGTTTGATCAATATAACTAATTCATAATATCAATCATTACTTTAAAGGGTTGTTTGGGATAATCTAAATAAGTGTACTTTTTAACTTTTTACGAAAAAATGTGAAATATGAATTGTGTTTAAAATGATAAAATAGAGAGATGATGTGATTTAAATAAGATAGTGACTTTTTAAATTTTTAGACTTTATGTATTATCCCAAACTAGGCCTAAATCAAATAAGGCATCAAAATACAAAACAAGCTAAACATACATGAAAAACCAACAACTTCCGCAACTACTCTCATGAGCAAAAACCCAAGGGGCGGCATGCTGGCAAGATCTTGGGAGCATAAGCATGAGATCCCAAGTTCCACTCACTCCGAGGTCAATCATCCGGGCAATAGCATATATAGTTAGTAAGACGAATCTTAGGTGAACCGTACCTAGTGTTGGACTGTGGGTTCAAATCACCGCCTATATGTGAGACCGTGACTTACCGCTACATGGCTGAGTGGCCTTGCCATGTAGCAACCACCTAGTGGTAACCTCTGTGGTTAGGCCTTTATTCTCTTGAGCAATAGTAATAGTTCAGTTTGATTAATATAACTAGTTCATAATATCAATCATTACTCTTAATCAAATAAGGCACACAAATACTAAGCAAGCTAATGTTAACAAGCCTCTCTCTTCTACAAGTACTAAAGACCCTCAAAGTATCTTATATGGTCTTCAAATGTCTCTGCATGACGGATCTTGGCCATGGATCCATCTTCTTCAACCTAAAAACATTAGCACAACTGTTAAGCATTTGATTTTCTACCAATAAATTTAATAGCGAAACACACAATTCTACAAGGTAAGTCGAATTGAACTACACTATCTTCCCATGCCATGCAATAAAATTCAGGTGAAAAAACAGACTATATGCTCAAGGATGGAAGAGAAATATCTTCATGAGGAAAACATAGGCAAAATTTTGCATTTGTAATTGGTAAAGCAGTAAATCACCAATTACTATACACTCTTCTGTTCACTAAAAAGAACGTCACATATCATATTCAAAGAACAAAAACTTGTATTTTCCTTCTATTCATGACAGGTATGAGCCACCCTTCAGATAAGGTACTCCACCTTCCTAAAAAGTTACTATCCTTTTGGAGTGTGTGGTGGGTTTGACCCTTGTGAAACATCTATTGGATATCCTCGTAGTGTGAATACAAATACGAATACCCTTCCAATTTTGTTCATATTAAAAAAAGGTCACAAGTCAATTTGTTGTACTCATAGAAATGCCGTCCACTAGATAGGATACGCGGAACCTTTAACAGAACCAAAAAAGTTTCAAAGCAAGTAACTGTTTGCTTCATGTGAGTTCTTTGAATAATCACGCTCTATGCTAGGCTCCCTATGTTAGCTAATAACCAGGAAAACCTAATAAGAACCATTAAAATTCAATTTAAGGAAGGTATATATCCTCAGCCCTTTGGTTTCATCCACAACAATCTCACAAGGTGGGGCAACCATGTAAGGAGGGCACCAAAAGCAGCCATTTAGGTTTTGGATGTAGTCCCATAGGCCTAAGCAGTGTTGCACTGTAGGGACATGTAGTCTCCAGAGTGTTAGTCTGCAAGCAGACACCCGTCATCATCCCAATGTCAAAATGCCTTCAATCTAGGTGTCCAGTCTTTGAAACCAACTGTAGTTAAAGGACCGTCAACTAACCAGACCATACAACTTAGAAAGACGGTGACGAAAGTTGTCACTAATCAACCCTACTTCCTAGATTGGTCCCACTTCAATATTTGCACCTGTCAAATGGAGACAGCTTACGTTCACAAATTATTTATGCATAAAGAAGTTTGATAGTAAAGTCTGGTCTGATAGCTGAAGTTACTGTTAACCAACTGGGGCAATCATGTAAGAGGGAGGGCACTAGAAGCAACCATTTAGGCTGTGATGTAATCCCATCCTCAATTTATTAATGGAAAACGGGCAACATCTTATTGGATCAGATTTGAAACAAAATGACGATAGGTTAAGGCAAGACACAGTTAAAACTACACACCCAGTACTCAGGTGGGCGCATCTTGAGATTGTAAGTTGATGCCATGCTCATGCAATAAGCCCCTGCGTCATGAACTACCAAGCCAGCTCCCTGAAAAGTAAATCTCCTGATCAGCAAAAGCGTCAAAAACAGAAACTCATTGGTCAGGCCATTCCCCATTAAGAGATGTAACACATTACCGAAACTGGAGTTGGAAGCTCCCTATCCTTTCCCAAGAAATCTGCTGATTCACAAACTGGGCCCACCACATCAAAAGTAGAAATCCCAGCACCAGGTGATGAAGGAGAAACTAGCTCTATGTGCTGCACCCATACGCAAACAAGTGAATAGTGATGAAGCAACTAAAGATAAGTTATTGTAAAGCTGTCTAGCATGGCATTAAGAAAAGGCAACATGAAAACATTAAGGTTGAAAATTGACAGGATAACACTGAGCTTATATAGCTGGTAAATTAAACAGTTTATTACTATTGCAACAATCAGTGACCTGCAAAAATGTAAGAGGAATTTCCTTGAACTAATTGACAGCAAAACCCCCAACTTTTAGTTAAAAAAAATAACACTTAATTGACTTACTGTTTAGCATCCAACAGACATATCAATGTCCATAAAAGCCGTCTCAGAACAAAATGAACATGGAAATGTGCTGTTAATCAATTTGGCAAACCATCGTCATTTGTGTCAATGAAACCAACATCACAACAAACGCAACAAAAGAAGAGTCTCCTAGCAATAGAGTGGGTTACAAATTAACGAGTTGCATTATTTTTCTGTTCTTTACAAAAATAGAAAAACTTCAGACACCGTAGAGTGTACAAGATTAGCAAAATATGCCAACATTCTTCCAGTTGATAGCTCCTTACATATGTTTTCCAAGTACTCAATAAGGAAGGAGACAGCGACAATCAAGGACAAAATAGAAAACTTGGAAACTAAGGGCCTGTTTGGCAACATTTTTGTTTTCACAAATTTTGAAAATTGAAAACAAAAATACATTTGGCTTTACTATTTTCATTTTCAAAGAAATAGCAACAGTCTGCCAAATTTATAAAAAAAAATAAAAAAAAAACCTTTCCGGCAACTCACCAAACATGTTTTCTTGTTTTTGTTTTAATAAATTTTGAAAACATGTGTGTACCAAACATTTGTGTTTTTTTTCTTCTTTTTTTCCATATATATAAAACAAAAAACTGACAACATTACCAAACGCTACCTAAGTGTTTAGTTGTTTGCCATTGGCTTGAGTCAAAGGACTACAAAATCTTCTGATTAGTGGGCCTTAAGGTTCATGACCACTATGCAGGCAACATTTTTTTTCCTTGAGAAGAGAGATGGATGCAGGAGAATCACAATCCTAGATTGAAGTTAGCATATTTAAAAAGAGTAGCAGATTATGACTTACTTGATAAGCATCATAAAGACTCGGGCGGATAAGCTCTGCCATGCTACCATCAATCACAATAAAATTTTTTGTTCCATTAGTTTTGACCCCAGTGACACGATTAACCAGGCAACAAGTATTTGCGATTAGTGATCTCCCAGGTTCAATGATGAGATTGAGATCTTGTGACAAGACTAGCTCCCGTACCTAAAACAAACACCCAGGAAGAAAATTTGATTGAAGCTTTACATAATCAGAAGCAAAATTTCTGCCGAGTTTCTTTAATAATGGACTGTAAGGCTATTTGTACAAGCATCTTTTCAATGCTGAATGTAACCATGAGAAACACAGAAATTCCAGACTTAAAACAGAGACATGTATTCATGCATGTATGTACACTCCAACCCTACATAACGAAAGTGAACCGAAGATACCATAAGTTCTAGGAAAACACAATCCACACCAATTGGGAGGCTCTTACCAGCCTACATGTCAAGGTTAATAATTTAGGATAGCACCCCCTTTGCCATCCTTGTGCATTTGCAAAGAAGAGAAGAGAAGGAAAGGCAAGAGATATTCTTTCTCATTTTTTGTGGAGAATCAGTGAACAAATACTTAATCCCTGAATAAGATCACCAACATACCAAAATTAATGGTCTCCCCTTCTGAATATATAAGACCCATTTGTTTTTTGGATGTCAGGATATGTTATAGGTCAAAAAGAAAGATGAAGGTAGGTAATGAGAAAATGCTTGCATAGTGACGATGATGGTAACAATTGATCATTTGATTCTTAGAAAGGTGTTTGGCCATTCAAATAATTTATCAACCTGCTCAATCAAGGGATCTTCAATCTATGTCCAGGTTTAGAATGTGGCTCTAACCTCTAAGTAGAGTATTGGTTTGAGGATAGAAGTCACTTGGCATTTAGTTAGGTTAAGGAGAACTCTACAAGACTACAACAAAAAGAGCACAGAATGAAAATAGATGTGCACTGAGAACTGCCGATTATTCGCTCCAGTTAAACATCTTCTTAACACGCTTTACCACATGGATAATAAAATCCTCCAAGCTCACATGAAATGCATAGGTACTATATGCCTAGACTAGAAAATCGTCCTTACAGTGTCAATCAGATCTCTGGGAGAAGGAAGGACAGCACCAGTGTGATAATAATCAATCCCCAGCCCGCCTCCAATGTTTAAATAGTCAATTTTGAAGCCTTGGGCGCGAATTTGGTCAATGTAATTCACCATAAGGACTGCAGCATCCCGGAAAATGTCAACCTAAAAATAATAATGAGATGATTAGATTTATAGAAAACAGAAAATAATTTTATGCATCATTAGACAATGATAAAGATGGAGATAAACATGAGTACAATGGGGATCAAAATTAGAATAATGTTAATGAAACGATGAGAAAGAGAAAGAAAGATATACAAATACAGAGAGAGAGAGAGAGAGAGGATCACTGAGATATAAAGATGAATGAAATCAAGGAAAATGACGAAAAAAAAGTGAATACAAAAAAGAAATTAGTAGAAGCAAAAATGAAAGGTGAATCAAGTAGTAGAAGGAAATTAATGAATGGACACCACGTTAGTAGTTAAATTGAACTTTGAACATTGGATAAACTATTATGTAGATGAGAAATTCCCCAGAATCAGCATTATAAGGCATGTCAAGAAATGCAATCGGTAGGATACTGAGTTATCAAAAAAAAAAGCATAAATATGACGGAGACCCACAAGCACTATAAATTCTTTTGCATCATAACAAAAATATTACTTAAAAATCATCTTATTCCATTGTTACTTCACATATGAATCTGTTTTATAAGCATATAGTGCCTTTGTTTCAGCCATACCAAATGTAAAATGGGAAGATTATTTTCCACCACTGCCAACGGAAAGTAAATCAACATTCATATAACATCAGCATAGTTTGATTAACTAAAAAAAATAACCCAAGAATAAAGCACATAATACATTTTTATGCAATTAAGGCCATAACATGTACAATGTTGTTTAAACTTTTAGGACACAAACTATGCTTGCAAGGTACCTTAGTGATGGTTGAACCAAGATGGCAATGGGCCCCCACAAGCTTCAGTTCATTAGGATATGCCTTCACAGCATGTAGAAACCATTGCAGCTTCTCATTTCTAATGCCAAATTTGGAGTTCTTATTACCAGTGGCAACATAAGGATGGACCTGAGGGAACATTAACCACAAACAGTTTTTAGAGAGATTGATAATTGCACGTCATAGTGTTTTTACCAAACAACATTTTCTTCTGTTCCAAAAAGACTAGCTTATGTATTTAAATTCATCCAAGTCTTAAACTAACTAGTCAAGTATCAATTGAGTTTCTCCCGATTGCTTACTCTAATGAATACACTACTACCAAATCCAGCACTTACAAATTACATCTTTGTAGCCACATTACCTGAGGGTCCACATCTGGATTAATCCTAAGCAGTAAATTAACCTTCTTCCCAGCAATTCTTGCCGCTGATACAATATTGTCCAAATCAAATTCACTATCAACATTGACAAAAACACCTTCTTGAGCAGCTAGCACCAGTTCCTCTAACAACTTTCCATTCCCATTAAAGATACACCTGATTTTCCATAGGTCAGTCAAATAACAGGAGAATTGACAATCACATTCACATTCACAATCACAATTACACTCACAATCACAGTCAAAACGTCCTGTTTATAAGCATAAAAGAAACTACTACTTTTTTTTCAATAAAATAAATTCATTGATAACAGATTGCAAGGTGAAACTAGTTCACGGCGATAATGTGAAAAATGACCTAAGCTGTCCTTTTCTTTTATTTAGCATGTTAAATGAAGTACTGTGCTGGCAATTTTGTAAAGAAAATGTGGCCTTGGTTTTATATATTGTCAGGTTAGGACAATGCAATCATGGCTTCAATCCTACATCAGGTATAACTGCATTGAACATGTTGCATTATTTGGAAAAATACAGGTACTTGACCTAACTTCAATGATTTTGAAACTAAACTGCTTGAAAGAGAAGGCTGACGTGAGAAAACCAAGAACCTAGCTGGATGAACACTCAAGATGAAGGAAAAGTCACGTATTTTAACAGCTTGCAAGGTCAATCAAGCACAAGGAAAATATAAATACAACCTTCACAAGACCATAAGGCCTCATTTGGGAAGTTGGCTATTTTAGTAGGCTAAAATATTTGTGTTTGGGAAGAGGGGTGGATTTTTTTGTAGTTGAATGTAAATTGCAATGTTTGTGAGAGAAAAAGTAAAATGATTATGGATTTGATATCTTATTGGCTATTTTAGACTATTTTGTTTTTTTGTGAATTTTAGCCCAAAAAAGCCAATCTTTGGCTTCCCAAACACCCCCAAAGTGAAACTAACATATTTTAGCAGGATTTTTTGTTTTTTGTTTTTGTTTTTTAGACCAGTAGCAGGATGTTTGTTGACTAGGCAACATTTTGTAATTGTATTACACACAACATTGCTTACTAAAATGAAAAATAATTTCGTTAGGACTTGATGGAAATCTAACTTGACATTGTCCAACTACTACCAAACCCTTCATGTGGGAGGAAAACAACAAGAAGCAATTACCAGTTTCCGAAAAATTTCTTAATAAACCATTCCCGAATTTACATATTGAGTCTCAATTCTCAACATTTTCTCTTTGACATTCAGGCTCCAAGGGTTGCGTTTCAAAACATTGCAAGGTCACTCATACACCACGTTCATAAAACAACTACATCGAAGTTTCCATCATGAACATTCCGCGCCTAGATACCCAAAACATAGTGAAAAAAGGAATAAGGAAAAAGAAAAGAAGAAAGAAAGAAAGAAAAGAAGGTAAAACCTTGATAGTAAAACTTAGTTTTAGCATTGTTAGAGCATCTCCAATCCTTGCTCTTTGTTATCATCAAATTTGAGGGGAAAAAATTGGCTAAAAACTTGTTTCAATCATTTTTTATGAAAAAAGATCGTCTCCAATCCTCACGATTTTTAAAATTTTATCAAATTTTGAGTAAAAATATGACTCTTGAAAATCTGATGAATGATTTAATGAAAATTTCGCCCCTGCCTTAATTTTATACAAATTTGATGAAATGATTGGAGCTCACTTTTAACTCTTTATTCATCAAATTTGAATTTGATGAAAGAAATAATGAAAGATTGTAAATGCTCTTATAGGCTCTATACATCATACATTACAAAGAAACAAGTAGAGTACGAGTATATTCTAAAAGATAAACATGTTGGGTAATTCAATTCCCACACATCAATTCCTCTTAGTGCACATACTTAATGAACACCTTCGTACACACAAAAAATCTCAATACACATTCTCTTTATTTCAATAATATCCTCGGATTTCAAAACCTTAATTTTTCTTCCATCCACCCACCCACTCACCCACCCCTCCTTCGCTGTTGTTGTTGCCAGTCTCCGTCTACCATTGTCGCTGCCACTCCTAGCTCATCCCCTTCCATCTTAGACCTCCACAATCAGGGGTTGTTTGAGATGTTCTAAATAAGTGCACTTTTTGACTTTTTATAAAAAGATATGTAGAAAAGTAGAGAGGAGATGTTGATTGATGTGATCTAAAAAAGATAAAAAGATAAAAAGTATAGACTTATTTAGTCTTCCCAAACAAGGCCTCAATCTCAAAAGTGGGTGGTTCACAATGGGGGTTAGTGGGAGTGTATGGTTTATGACGGAAGAAGGTGGCCACAGGCAAACGAGAGAGGGAAGAAAAAAAAAAAAAGCAACCGGAGGGGATGGCAAAGAAGATAGGTGGTGCTTGCTGGCTGTGGGTGTTTTAGAATTAGGCTTGGGTGGAGGAAGAAAACAGTAGTACAGTATTTTTATTGGGTAAATTACACTTTGCCCCATTTATGTTTGACCACTTTCTAACTTACCTTTGAAGTTTATTTTTCTCACTTTGACCCTTTTATCTTTCAAGTTTTTCCTAGTTCACTCCTAAAACTAATTTCTGTTCAAATTAGATAGAAAATATCATAATAACTACCACATAACATAAAAAAATATATTACTATATTGGAAGTTTATATTAGAGACGTGAATTATATATAATAAAATATTTTTATGTCACATAATTGTTAATGTGTCAATTTTTTGTCTTTTAACATAAATTAAGTTTAGAAGTAAATTGAAAAAAACTTGAGAGAGCAAAAGTGAAAAAAAACAAACAAACAAACAAGCAAACTTCAAAGGTTAAAATGATAAAGTAACCAAATATAAAGGGGATAAAATGTAATTTAACCATTTTTATTCTATGACAAATTTGTATTAAGAACAAATTTCATTGATTAAGTGTGAACTGGGGAAATACCCAAACACATTCTATAGATCAAAGAAACTGCTATATTGAAACTAAAACTCACATTACAAGAAAAAAGGGTAGAGTCAATTAACACACCTAGTGGGATCGAACCCAGCATGAAGAGCCAAGCGAAGCTCATTGCCACTAACCAACACAGCCCCACATCCCAACTTCCTCAAGTGCTCCAAAATCTTAAGATTGTTGTTGGCTTTAATCGCATATCCAATAATCGAATCCAAACCCTCCAAAGCATCCCTATAAGCTTGGAAGTTTCTAGTGATTTGGGGCTTACTGTAGAGATAAAAAGGACTCCTGTCAACATTGTTCATCACATCCTCAACCCTAAGACCCTCACAGCACAAATACCCATCTTCGGATTTGCTGAAGCAATGCTTAAACAAAGAGTTTTCCGAAAGGATTGCCCTTAGCTTTAGGGTGGTCCTTGAGGAGGGTTTGTAGGTTGTTAGGAAGAAGGAGTTTTGGCTTGCATTTGAATGATGTTTTAGGGATTTTGGAATAGAAAGGTGCTGCAGGAGGATTTGAGAAGCAAACATTGATGGACGAACTTGACTGAGAGAATGTCGGTAGGTAGGAAAGTGAGACCTTTAAAACTAGGGTTTATGGGAACGGCCCAGATTGGACTAAGGGAGATGGGCGGCTGAGATCACTTCATTAAAATAATAATAAATTAAAACCAAATTTTTGTTGAAAGCGTGAAAGAGTAGAGAGACAGTTGAGCAATCGAAAAGAGATAGAGAGAGCGAGATACGCGTCGATGAACAATCCCAACCACCATCGTTGTTTGTCCACGGCGACCACCATCCACAATTTTTCACCGGTAACCACCATTCATCGGCCATTGTTGTCCGCCGGCGACCACTGTCCATCGGCCGTTGTTGTTGCTTTTATGCCTCCCCATAGCTTGGAGTAATTGAAGGGAAACAGAGAAAACCCAGCTTTCTAGAGTTTTGATCAAAAGCCAAACAATAATTCAAATTTCACAAAAATAATAAATCAAAATCTAAGAAAACAAAGTTGACAAAATCTGATTTCTTCCTTTCCCTCCTCTCTCCCTACATAATACACACACACATACATATATATATATATATATATGCGAATCTATATTTGTCACTCTCTTGATCTCTCCGCTTTATGAGATATGTGAAATCAAGCAGTTGAAACTAGCTTTGGTTGATAATATGAAAAAAAATCTTGATGGATTCTTGCTCTCTTTGTTCAATTATTGTAATATTATATCTATTCTATTTTTAAAAAGGAACAATAAATTTGATGTCACGAATGATATTAATATATTTGATATTTAATAAATAAAAAATATATATATATATATTAAAATATGTACAAATCTTTATAAAAAAAGACACACATGAAATTAAGGAAACAAACAAATCAATTTTTTGGAAATATAATAAACCCACAAACACAAATTTTGATAAAAAGAAGAAAATAAAAGTCAATTTTTTTTTAATTTTTTTTTTATAACTTAATAAGATAATGAAATATTTCATTTTATAGAAAGTATAATTAACAGTATTACATAAAAAGATAAATACAAAAATACAAACCCAAGGCACTTAGAGCACTGAATTTTTTTTAAGAACACTGAATATCTATCTATCTTCTATCTATCTATCTATCTATCTATCTATACTATTATAAAGTGAACACCTTTTATGGTGTCCTGAAGCTTTACTCTCCTCATGCCATGTGGCAGTATTTTTTATTACGAAGACTCATACCACTTAAGCTAAGTACACATTATAATATTAATTTCATTATTATTATTTTTTATTCCTACTTATTTAAATTGCACACACATCGTGTGTGCCACCCACTAGCTTTTTAAAAACACACACAATTAAGTAACAAACAAACCAAATTTTTAAAAACTGAATTTATACACAAAAAATAATTTTTTAAAAACACACACAATTAAGTAACAAACAAACCAAATTTTTAAAAACTGAATTTATACACAAAAAATAAACAAATGATTGAAAAAGTAAAACAAGAAAAAAAAAAAAAAAAACCCAAAGTGTTTGAGTCCAAGTCTAATCTAAAAAATTTTACACACACATGGTGCCAAATTATTCAAAGAAGCCTGCATAAATATGAATTAAGAATCTAAAAATTAATTTAATGAAAATACAAAAAACACTGATTTTTTTTTTTCAAAAATACACACACAAAATTAAGAACACTGATTTTTTTATTTTTTATTTTCAAAACACACAGACAATGAAACTTTTAATGAAGAAAAAAATACATAATAGTGTTCTCGCAAAAGTAAACAAACAAACAAATCAAATTATAAAAAAAACTGAATTTATACACAAAAAGAAACAATAGCTTGAAAAGTGAAATAGGAAAAAATCCAAAACTAGTTAAGTCTCTAAAAACTTGCACAAAGGTATCAAAGTGTTTAATTAAAAACACTTATAGATATTAAGAACCTAAAAATTAATTTAATGAAAATACAGAAAATACTGATTTTTTTTTTTCAAAAACACACACATCCAAAATTATGAGCACTAATTTTTTATTTTATTTTTCCAAAAACACACACAATGAAACTTTTTAATGAAGAAAAAAAAAATACATTATAGTGTTCTGAATCAATATATTTTTTTCTCCAAAGAACCTAATTACATAATAAAACTTTTTATTGAAGAAAATAAAAATATAATTAACAATACTACGCTTACAATGTAGGATAAGCAGTAGATATATATTTCGGATAAAGATAACTATAAGATTGCAATGTTCTTGAATAGTATTTCTCCCCCCAAAAAAAAAGAAACAAAATCATTGAACAAACAAAAGGGAAGATTTTATAGTAAATAGAGAGAGGGGTGAAGTTGTTGAAACTGTTTAAAACTACATAGCAGTTTGAAAACGTGGGAGGTGAGGTTGGTTGATATCATGAGAAGTGGGATTGGTTGTAATTTACTATTTTACCTTTAATTACAAATTGATAAGTATAAAAATAATATAATTATTTAAAAAGTTAGGGTCATTTTAAGAAAATTTGGAAAAAGTTGATGAGGAGTGGCTTCATGACACCAAATTTGTTGTTCCCTTTTAATAATAGAATAGATTTATCAAATATCAAATATATTAATATCAAATGTTACATTACACATAGTTATATATATGTATATTATTTAAAAAAAATGTCAATTTCATATTATAATTTCAAATGAGTTTTCACACGCATCGCGTGTCCCCGGCCGCTAGTATATATATATACACACTAGCGGGTAAGGCACACGCAATGGGTGTGCAAATTTAGCAAAAAATTATATTATTCTTTTATTATATATTTTATATAATAATTATATATGTATTATAAGTGTAATGTAATGCAAGTTAAATATTTCTAACCATTGAGTTTAGAAGAATTCTATCTCTGTGTTGTAGAGCTTCAATTGTAGAGCATCAGCTGATGTATTCTCAGTGCTGTTTTCTGTCTTTATCTGCTCTGTAAGCTGGTTGATTGATCTGCTGCTCTGATGATTGTTTTTTGCTAGTTGTTTGTTTCTACTATTGTTAGTATGCTGTTTGTGGCTTAGAACCTGATCTAATCTGTCAGTGATCTGCAATCTGTTAAAGGTGTTGTCTGTTGGAGGTGTAGTCTTTAATATTAGCCCAATCTGGTAGTTATCTGTTGGTAGTCTGCTGCTGGAGGTTCATGTGGAAGCCAATCTGTTGTTCTGCTAATTGTTGTTTTGCTGCTGGAGGTTGTTGTTCTGCTAATTTTGTTCTACTAGAGAATGTTATGTCAGCCAATTTGTTATGTTGATTGTTGTTCTGCTGCTGGTGGCTCATGTGGTAGCCTTTTTGTTTTTCTGATCTTTCTTTCTTTGCTTGTTGTTGGTCTCTCATTAACTGGAGCTTGAAGCTATTGTACTCTGTCATGCTTCGTATGTTTCCATCAATAAAAATTTTGTTTTGCTGATCAAAAGAAAAAAAAATATTTACTTGGTATATATTTCAAATAAAATATGTACAATATAATATATACAAATCTTTAAAAATATATATATAATATTTCCTAATTTTCACCCCCCAAAAAACTATACATTATGAATTCATAAAACATCTCAATTTGGCATTGACATGAGAGTGGAAATTACAAATCATGCAAGCAATATATAAGATACATTAAAAAATTAGTATTATTTTTGTTTGTTATATAAAAAAAATTATATTAAATTCAAAAATAAATGTACTTTAATCAATAGATTGCAGCATAACTTTGCTTTTGTAATTGGCTAATTACGTTATGTATGAAGATACAAAGTGTAAACAATTATAGAATTTAATTTTAGAATTTATGTATGACTAAGATGTATTTTGATAGTAAAAAATAAATAATAAATAAACACCATTTTTTTTTAACTAAACAATTATAGAATTTATATAAAAAAAATAAAATCACTGATAGAACACTTACAATAAAAGAGGTGTGGTGTTGCTAGATAATCACTGGAGAAGTTATTAGTTTTGAACAATACAAAATTGTAAAGCAAGTGGAAAAATAAAAAATTTATTTGAAAAAAAAAAGCAAATTAGTGAACCATAAGAAAAGCAATTACATAAAGATACTATTTCTAATTTTTATTTTTATATATATGGTATAAGATTTTTATATAGTGGGGTTGCATCATTAGTGTATTTTAATTTTTTATATAATGGGGTTAATCAAGTGAAAAATCTTTTATGTTACAATATGTTTGGTTGGTAAAAATAAAAGAAAAATATTGTGAATCCTACACCAAAAAAAGAAGTCAGTACCTACAAAATTCTCACGTGATGATAAGGGCATAAATTATCACTTAGATCGAACTTTTATATGGTGGAAAAATAAAAAATAAAAAATTCAAAAAATATGAGACTAAAATCCATATCATAATGTATATACGTTTTTTTTATTTGTTTATTTATTTGTAATTTAGATTAAACTTTCATATGGTGGTTTTTATATATAAATTTATCGTAAAATTATGAGTCTAAAAGCAACGTAGTTTTTCATAAGAATAATCTTTTATGTTACGATATGTTTGGTTGGTAAAAATAAAAGAAAAACATTGTGAATCCTACACCAAAAAAAGAAGTCAGTACCTACAAAATTCTCACGTGATGATAAGGGCATAAATTATCATTTAGATCGAACTTTTATATGGTGGAAAAATAAAAAATAAAAAATTCAAAAAATATGAGACTAAAATCCATATCATAATGTATATACGTTTTTTTTATTTGTTTATTTATTTGTAATTTAGATTAAACTTTCATATGGTGGTTTTTATATATAAATTTATCGTAAAATTATGAGTCTAAAAGCAACGTAGTTTTTCATAAGAATATGAGTCTAAAATCCATATCATGATGTATATATATATATATATATTCTATTTGTAATTTAGATTGAACTTTATTTGGTGAGAAAAATGAAAAAAGTTTTTCATAAAAATAGAAGCCTAAAATCCACATTCAACTAAATCAAACAATAATGTATACATGTTTTTTTTTTTAAAAAAAATTTAGATTGAACTTTTATATGGTTGAAAAATTTTAAAAAATAAAAAATCATAAAAATACGAGCGTAAAATCCACATCATGATGCATACATTTTTTGTTGTTTTATTAGATTGAACTTTTATATGATGAAAAAAATGAAGAAAAAAAATCATTAAAATATGAGCATACAATCCACATTATAATGTATAATGTATATACATTTTTTTTGTTTTTTTTTAATCAACATGATCAACAAAATGGAAATGTCATTTTTTATTAGTTCTAAACAGCTAATTAATGAACATAAAAAAATAAATAATAAGTGAATACAATTTTTTTACTAAACAATTACAAAATTTATACTTTAAAAAAAAATAATTAAACAAATAAACAAAATAGAACACTTACAGGAGAAGAAAATTGATTGTGTTAAACAACCCCTTGAAAAGTTATTAGTTCTAAATAGCACAAAATTGTAAAGCAACCTGCAAAAAAATATAATAACCCGACAACAGGTCATCCCCCCCCCAAAAAAAATTCAAGACTTACAAAATTCTCACATGGTGGGAAAAATGAAAAAAATCCACATCATAATATATACAATTTATTATTATTATTATTATTATTATTATTATTATTATTATTATTATTATTATTATTATTATTATTATATTGAACT